TAAAAGAGAGCAGAAGACTGTCAGAGTGATGCAGTGTGAGAAAGGTTATTACTAAATGTGAAGATGGAAGGATACCACTAGCCAAGGAATGCAAAGGCTTCTAGAAGCTGGAAAAGACAGCAAAACAAACTACTCAAACTATTCTTAGCGTGTCTATCAAGGAGCACAACCCTGCCAACACGTTGATTTTAGTACCATAGGACCCTTTTCTTACTTACAGCCTCAAGAGCTATAAGACAATATGTTTTCATTGGTTTGAGTCACTAAGTTTGGCAGCAATAGCCAGCTAAGTCAGTAAGTAGTGCTCTGAAGTATTGCATTATATAGCTGCTCAACCTGTATTCACTGGCTGAAGACAAAGAAATTAGGCTGGGCACTGTGGCTCATGCCGGTAACCCCAGCATTTTGGGAGGCTGAGGTAGGTGGATCACTTGAGCCCAGGAGTTGGAGACAAACTTGGCCAACATGGCAAAACCCCATTTCTACTGAAAAAAGAAAAAAAAAAAAAAAGCCAGGGGTTGTGTAACGCATCTGTAATCCCAGCTACTTGGGAGGCTGGGGCACTAGAATTGCTCTAACCTGGAAAGCAGAGGCTTCAGTGAGCAGAGATCATGCCACTGCACTCCAGCCTGGGCAACAGAGTGAGACTCTGTCTCAATCAATAAATAGATAAATGTAAAGAAACAAATAAGACAGAGAAATTTAGTGCAATATTGGAAATCTTATGGGAAGATAAATTTATTCTTTTGATTTTTTTTTTTCTTAATTGAAACGGAGTTTCGCTCTTGTTACCCAGGCTGGAGTGCAATGGAGCGGTCTCGGCTCACCACAACCTCCGCCTCCTGCGTTCAGGCAATTCTTCTGGCTCAGCCTCCCGAGTAGCTGGGATTACAGGCACGCGCCACCATGCCCAGCTAATTTTTTGTATTTTTAGTAGAGACGGGGTTTCACCGTGTTGACCAGGATGGTCTCGATCTCTTGACCTCGTGATTCACCCGCCTCGACCTCCCAAAGTGCTGGGATTACAGGCGTGAGCCACCACGCTCGGCCCTCTTTTGATTTTTTTATGTAGTGTTTTCAAATCTGAGAAATGCCTTTTTTTGTCATGTGAGTAGTAATGAAACACAACCAATTTTCATGTTTCTACTGTATATGAATATATGTGCTTTCAGGAAATCTGGCAAAACCTTATATTAAAGAGTTTTGGAATTCACATTTGTTAGGGTCAACTCCCTACTGTATCCACTTACAGCCCAAAACATCAGTCATTAAGCCATGTTGACACACAATAAACATCCAATCAACTTTTAGCGTTGTTCATTCAGAACCTTTCAACAATCAAAACCTGCTATCTCTTCTTTGAGGTTTTATTCAATGCTTCATTTCAGTGCCTAGAATAGTGCTTCACATGTGGTAATATCTTAAAAATATTTATCAACTAAATGAGTGAAGACAAGTACTGCTGAGTTTACTAAGTATTCTTTTTAGGTATTTTGTTCAGGCAGATTTTTGTTCAGGCTGCAACAAAATCCCTGATGACTGTGTTTATTCCTTGGCCTTCCACCACCCATTTCAGAAGTGCTCAAACCTATGCAAAGGCTTTCATATCCACTTTTGCTGATTTAAATGCTGTTGAGGTATTTATGTTCTCAATGTCTCAAAGGTTTTGATGTGTAATGGCTCTCAGTTTTCACCTATCTTTATCTGAGCATTCTTACCTAAGACATAGCCATCAATCCATCTGATATCTGGGCTGGTATTCTATTGTACTCACAATCACTTTCACTTTAATTCAAGATTTTTTTTTCTCAAAAACACCCTCTTCAGTTTTACATTTTAGTAGCCCTCTTTTGAGCTGACCTCAGTAGTTCTCTAAAATATAGCCCTACAGGGTAAAATCAAATTATAATCATAGGTTAGGTGCAAGCTAATACTCCCATTGCTTTAGCTTCAAATGGATTCTTTATTTACCATTAGTAACCTTTAAAATATTCATACTGTCATAAAAAGCCTTTAACACAAAGCCTAATACAAAGTAGACCTTGAAAAGTATTAATTTTACCACTGTTTTCTATGAAGAACCATGAAATACTGTCGTGGAGTAAAATATGCTTATATTCATATTAATATGGTATTTTGAATTTTTAAAGTCATAAACCCAGTGAGACAACTATTTAATATGATTTTCTGACAGATCTGTAGTTAATTTGAACAAAGTATGTAAAAAGAAAGGGAAGAAATTCTGTATATAATAGCTTCAGCTTTTGAAGTCCCATTGCAGAATTCTCCCCAATTATGAAGAATAAAAAGATTATCCTTTACGTTAATCTCTACTAAATTGAAAAAAATACCTTTGGCTCTAAATTACAATTTCAATTTTGCATGTAAAGCTAATAATTAAATTAGTCAATACAGTTTCTGTAATCAAATGTTAAACTTTATTCTTTTAAAAAGAGGACAATAATACAAATATGTTTGTTTAAGATTAGCCTTGGTATTCTTAACTTATTTCCGAAGTACTTTGTTTTTTTTAGGAGTGGTCAAAATACATTAGAAGATATGAGAGAAATCTTTATTTAATTTTAAGCCTTTTTTGAGCTTAAGCCATCTGACTTTTTTTTTAAAAGTCCACAATCAAAAATATGTTGACATAGATAGCAATTAATTTTTTTAATATTCGAATGGAATTAAGCATATTTTTATGAAAATAAAACTCCTAGACCCCAGTCATTATAAATATATAAAACTACTGTTTTGTAAATATTATAGCAATTTTTCTACCATTTTAAATGATATTTTAAATGAGTTTCAAATGGTGCCCATGAAAGAAACTGATCGAAGTTATCAGCACCAACAAAAGGCTAAATCAATGTCATGTGCCTCTGGATGTGATACACTGAGAAAGACATTTTGTCATTTATGTGATATTCCTACCCTGATATACATAACCTGAATCTAGTTATAAGGATGTATTACACAATCCAAATCGAGGGACATTCTACAAAACCACTGCCTGCAGTCTTTCCAAGTGTCAGGGTCGTGAAAGTGAAAGTACAATTGAGGAACTGGTGCAGGCTGAATGAAATCAGAGACCAGACAGCTACATGCAGTGCAAGTTATTACATTAGGGGCTAAACTGGGAGAAAAGAATAGCTCTAAAGGACTTTATCTGGACAACTGATGAATTAAATTTGAATATAGAGTGCAGATTATAGTATGACATTCATGTTATATTTTTTAATTTTGAAAATTGTACTCTGGTCATGTAAGAGAATGTTCTTGGTCATAGGAAATATACAAAAGAATTTTCTGGCTGGAAGACATCATGATTCCAATTTATTTAAATAACATTAAAATATAGAAAGAAATAGTACTAGTAGTGAAAATGACAAAGCAACTGTGGTAAAATCTAAACAATTAGGTGCAGCTGGCTAAAGAGGGCAGAAGCTCCTGGTACTGTTTTTATAACTTTTCCCTAAATTTGAAATGTTATCAAAATAAAAAGTTAAAAAAACAGGGAGTCTTGGAAGTATAAATTATTTAACCTTATAAGGAAAGTGTAATATATATATTTAATATATAAAGTTTAAATATTAAATAAACCCCTTTTACTTTTTAGAAAATATGTAGTCTGGAAGATATGTTACCATAAAGAATGTGTAGTATTATTCTATTTGCTTCTAAACAGCAGGTGATAACAATTTTAGTAAAAGCATGGTTGTTTGTAATATTTTTGTTCTTTTCCTATTTCAAAGATCAAGGAAACAACTCTCTTTTAAAACAGTTATGAGTCAAGGTGAATTCAAACCAGATGTTTAGAGAGTTTCATTTCACTTGAAGATTTTTGATACACTCTGTAGAGAATGTCTAAGACATAATGACCAGCCAACATTTTTATTTAAGATTGGATATTCATGGGTCAGTCTTCAAGCTAAATGTTTATTTTTCTAACTGTTTTATAGTGAAGTTTGGTTAAAAGACTTGGCACAGTGCTTTTCAGTTTAATTTTCAGCCTGACAGAAATGCTGGCCTCAGTGTGTGTATGTGTGTAATTTAGTTGCTGTGCTACTGGAAGTCTATGGAAGATTAATGAATGGTGAGGCTCCGTGGCAGTTGTGAGGGGAGGCAGGATACAGAAAACCAGCCACCATCTGTTCAAAATGCCTTTTGTAGTGCTTTTAAGGAAAACAGTTACCAGCAGGAGACAGAGGCAAACAATGGCTTAAATATTAATGTTTCTGTTCTCACAAGTAAATATTGTAATTATACTTCTATTATCTTAACAAATAAATATGCATATTATGTTTCAACCATGTCGTATATTCAATTCTCCAAACAGGAAAATTACCAATAATTTAATATACTTACCAATACTTCCTCTCAGTTAGGATCTTCAAGGTATGATATCTATGAAATCCAAAGAAAAGCTCAGTAAATCATCTTTTACTTTGGAATCAATGTTTATCCTTAGAAGGACCTCCACCATCATCTCATACAATTTATACGATATGCATTAATTATGTTCTCATAGATTCATTATCCCAATCATGCCTTCAAATCTTTTCAGAAGTGTCACTCTATACCTAGAATGCTGTTATTTATTAATATGCTCACTAAGAAAACTCTAGACTAGTGCTTTTCAAACTTGAATTGAAAACAAATCACCTGGGTCTTTCAAAATGCAGATTCTGATCAGTAAGTTTTGGCTTAAACTTCACATGATGAATTTCTAATAAACTTTCACGTGATGCTGATGCTGCTAATCTATAGGCTGCACAATGATAAGTAATAATACAGATTAATCTCTATGATATCTTTAGCTGCAAAGAATAGTGGAGGGTGTCATTAAAAAAAGGTAAAAATATACATACACACCTTAATGTTGGTGCCTACTTGGCTGCGTCATTGCCAATGGTGGTGGAATGTCAACCACCCATTTGGCAACTGGGTGGTTAATATTCACCCAGTCACCAAATAACAATGACAACAACAACAACAAGAATAATAGGAACACATTAATGCTAATTGGATGTCATTAGAACCAGTATTGGGTGCTTTTATCAATACTTTGTGTTATATCAGGAAGTCATAAAATAAATACATAAAAACTTGTACATTTTATCTCACTTAAAAAATATAAATGTTAATTTTTTCACCTATCTTTGATCTCGGGCCAAGGTACTTTATTTTAATATGAGTCAGCTGATTAGATTTCCTTGTCATCTTTCTTACTTAAAAGGGACCCATAATTTATCACCTCAGATTTCCAGTTTTCATTTATTTCAAGTGGAGCAATAACTTAAGTACACTTGCAAAGAACTATGATTAGAAGATTTACAGTAACTTTCAATTTTTTACAATTAGCATCTCTATACCTAATTCAAGTGTAATTATTTTAGGGAAGTCAACTTTTTTGGGAGGATCCAAAGGACCCAACATAATTACCATAAAACAAAAGAATTATCCTTCTTTTTGTTTTACTTATTATTATTGCTATGTATATAATGATTTATTAAATTATAGCTTCAGGGACAAATATGGCAAAATGTTTAACTCATTACTAAACATTGGTAGCAGAACTATGTGTGTAAACTACACAAGTGACTAGCTCTAAGTGTAATTGTGCCATTAGTATCCAGTTTGTTTCACAGAAGGCAGAGAGAATAATAACCCATCAAGAAAGTGATGGATGGTAAAGAAAACTTCTCATCCTGCATATCTGCAACATTTAAAAAATTAAAGAGAATAAATTCATAATCTTCAGAAATGTTTCTCAAAATCTCTTCTGATACTTCTCAGTTGTGTTGTACATTTGGCTCATTTTTCCTTTCATATTGAGTCATATTTTCTTTTCCATCTCCTTTTTACCACTCTCAGGTTTTATTTCGAGGTGTGTGTGTCTGTTTCTGTGTGTGTGTGTGTGTGTGTATCAATTTAGCCACTTCTCATTCTTACCTTTTTCTATATTTTCTCAAGTCTCACCTCTAATTCTTCTTCAGAATCATAAACTATCTGGCAGATAATGGAGGATAAAAGGGCAGTCTAAAATTATTTTCTTGGTAATGAAACTTCAGTGTATCTTACAGATAGTTGCCAAACTTATTATTGCCTTATCCATCAATGAGCTAGGGTAGTAGTCTTTAATGCTCTTGGATCCCAATAGATTAAATTAAAGCAACACTGCTGTTTGCTAGGAGAGAATGCCTTATATGATAAGGATCATTCAAATAATATAAAATTGCAGATTCATGAAATAAAACACAAATAAATTACATATGAATTCATTACCTGGAAACAAAAACCAGTCTAGAAGTTTTTGTTATTAACGTAACTACCTTAGTGCCACCAACTAATGATGAGATCATGAAATATGAGCAAAATATAACTACATTTTCACTCTTTTCTCTTAAAAAATGTGATTTTTCATTATTCACGATTCTCATCAGAGAAAGTAAACAACAGCTAAAGTAATTTAAAAAATGAAAACACGCTACAGTCAAAATTTCAATAGAACTATGCTAGAAAAAAATTACCAAAGAAAGACTTTAAATATTTAGAAGAAAAATACAAATATAATTAGCTTAATTACTACTTATGCAAAAAATTTGGTTATAGCCTTTATGCTTTTATGTCTACCTAAGAATTTTATAATTTACTGAGAAAAGGATTGGAATAAAATTCTGAAAATTTCAATTCTCATATTGGTTCAAATGTTTATTGATCTTATAGCATCAAGTAAATAATCTTTTTGAAATTTATCTCACTCAGCTATTTTCTGTAAATCTAATGTGCCTTTTGAAATTTTTATATTCAGAATAAAATCTGTTGTAAAATATTTAAAAGCTAAAATAGACAAAGTAGACAATCAACAATTTTTTAAGAAATGATTTATATATTATTATACATAAGCAGAATTTTCAGTTCAAATTAGAATATGGAAAACAAATTATTTTAATCATCTATTTTCCTGATAAATGGCAAAATATTTTTATGACATTAGATGTTTTATTCAATATCTCTTTGTTAATGATTAGAAGAAGTGAAGAGCAAGCCTCTCCAGGTCCAGAAATTAGAAATTTACAGTATTTATCAGCACACAGTTGTCTTTCTAAGGCTTTTGATGTACAACCATATACACAGAGAGACACACACACCTTCAAACCCAGACAAAGCTACCAATTGATGTGCCTATGAATGGATGATATTCTACTTTATTCACTATTGGTTTGGTCTCTTTAAATAAGTCATCCAATGTTTACAGGGCACTGTATTAGCAAAACTGATTCAATGTGATATTCAGGTTAATTATTTTATTCTTCTGGGGTTTTTGACCTGGTTTCTATTTCAGAAGTCATAAACAGTGCAAATTTGGATTAGTGAAACTGTTCTTGCCTGTAAATGATTTTCCGGTAGAAATAGCTCAATTAACAGTAAATCAAAAGCAAAACTACTCTCAGAGAATTATCATTTTCTAATATAGACACAACATTAAAGAAAAGAAAAGAAAAGAAACCCACCAAAACTTCTTAACAGATTTAATATTATTTTATTGTGGAATTTTTTACCAAGTTTTCAATTTAAATTGTGCTTATTGAGATTTAGATATTTAGTTGAAACCTAAATGTAGAAGAATTTGTGATCATGGTTATAGCTACCTTACCTTAAGAACAAAAATAAATATTGCCTAACAGTTGAATAAAATGAATCCAAAAAATCCTTAAAAAATGTAAGCAACTCGCCTGGCTCACGCCTGTAATCCCAGCATTTTGGGAGGCCAAAGTGGGTGGATCACCTGAGGTCAGGAGTTCAACATCAGCCTGGCTAACATAGTGAAATTGCATCTCTACTAAAAACTCAAAAATTAGCTGGGCCTGGTGGTGGGCACCTGTAATCCCAAATACTCAGAAGGCTGAGGCAGGAGAATAGATTGAACCTGGGAGTTGGAGGTTCCAGTGAGCTGCAATCATGCTATTGCACTCCAGGCCTGGGTGACAAGAGTGAAACCTGGTCTTAAACGAAAACAAAAACAAAAAAGTAAGCAACTAACGCTAACAAACTGCTTAGGTAGCCCACACTGCCTATGGCCATGCTACAAAGCTGTAGGCAGATAGCAAAACTGACATCTGATTTCTCATGTTCTTTTCAAAGACTGGCTTATCTTGGAGTATCCCTCAGGAGACTGTACTTTAGACTGAAATCACCCAGTGTCAGTAATTTTAGAAGTACTTTCTCCCAACCCCTAAAACAAAGATATTCCTATTAGCCACAACCTGTGAATATGATTTACATGGCAAAATATAATTAGGTTTAGAGAACTTGAGGTGAGAAAATTAACCTGATAGCTAGTTAGACCAAATCTAATCACATGATTCCTTAAAAGCAGAGAACTGATCCCAGCTGTGTGCAGAGAGATGGCAGTGTAAGAAGGATTGGACTTGGAGCACATCCAGTTGCTGCCTCTAATATGTATGGGACTGTGTGCAAGAAACTGAATTGTGCCAATAACCCAAATGAGGGAGAAAATGGATCCCCAACTCTTACCCCTAGTCTTCAGAAAGGAATGCAACCACGTCAAAACTTTGACTAGCTCTAGTGAGATCTGTACTGAAATTCCGACCTACAGAAAATAATACATTTGAGTTAGTTATTTTAATCCCCTAGGTTTGTGGTCATCTATTAGGACAGCAAAAGAAAACTGATACAATCCCAAATCACATGTCTGGTTCAGTTGGCATGTCTCTTTAGTCTACTTCATTTGGCAGCTTTTTCAGTCTTCCCTTGACTTTCATGACCATAATGCTTTTGAAGATGGCAGACAGATTAGGAAGTCCTTCACTGTGGGTTTCAGTGTCCATACCATTAGAGTTAGGCTATAAGCATTTGGCAGAATACCACAGAAAGAGTACTATGAGCCTTCTCATTGTATTTTGTCAGAGAATGATTTTGATTCTGTCTATTACTGATGGTATTCACTCTGACCACTTAAGTAAGTTATCTGCCAGGATTTTCCAACTGTGAAGTTACTATTTTTCCTTTGGTAACTTTTAAAAGTTTTGGAGGGAGCACTTTGAACTATGTAGTTATCACATTTGTCATCTGAGTGTTTATTACTTCATTTATTAAAGTATGGCCTCTTGTTTTCCTCTTTAATTCAAGGGTTACAATCATTGTTATTATTTAGATGTCTCTATGTCTCTCTAGTGAATATAGTCTCATCACTGTTTTTGGATTCTCCCTTGGGATACCTGGCTATGAGGATATTCTGTTCACACTGTTGGGTTCCATGACTCCACACGAGATTACCCCAAATTGTGTCTTCCTATGGACATCACTTTCACTGCTTCTTGGGCTCTGATGTTTCTCAGCAGCTACCCCTTATCCCAGCCCCACATAAATAGCCTCCTCACTCTGTTGGGCTGTGACTCTTAATTTTCGCAATTTTTAAACCTAAGTTATACCTTCAATTGTTCTTTAAGGAACCCAATAACTTAATGTTGAAAATATATTAGTTACTAACTGGTACATGGTTTCAGGTTACCATGGGATGAGTTGCAAAATACTATGAATAAAAACTAGATTCATTTGTCAGTGATTAAGGGGAGTTGTTCTTAGTTTTGCTTATACATTCTACAGAGTTGGAGTAAAAAATTTCAAATGCTTTAATGTGATACAAACATTAAATTCTAGAAAATTTCATAATTGCATTTGGTAAACTTTAGCAAGAAAGTATAGTATGAATGTTTATTCACCTCTTAATTTACTTAAAATGCTAATATACAACACAAGAGTCATCAAAATCAGCAAGTTAAAATAAAAAGTATTTTATTGATTAGTCAGAAACCCTACATTCAAATATATGCCCTCTCATTTACCATGAGCAAATTAATTACTCTTTTTTCTCATTTGTAAATAGTAGAATAATCTTTGTCCTGTTCACAGTGGAAAGCACATGAGCTTACAAGTCAGGTAAGTTTGGGTTTGGGAATCTGTTTTCACATCAATAGCTATGTGGACTTTTGACAAATTATTTAATTTACCTCGTCTTCTATTTCATCATCAGTAACATGATGATAGTAAATGCTAACTTAGCAATCAATCTGAAGCAGGAATGAAATGGGGCAATGTGTGTATATACATAAACCAGTAGCTGTTAGGTGCATATGGTGTGTGACAGTAGTATCAACAACTAGACAAAGAAAAGAGAGAGATCAAAAATATTTTGTCAATTTCAAGGTGTTACAAACATGTGATTTATTTTATTAAAAACATTTTTTCCCTAACACTTTGAATATCCCCTTTTAGGCATTATGGCAAGTGTAATAATTTATTTTCTAGCATTTCTAAGGCTATATTCCCTACCAAAATTTAATGGAAGAAAAGAACCATGTTTGTGCTCAATGTCCTAATATTTGCCTATAATATTTTATTGTGGTTATTTGTGTTCATCTGTGTCTTCTTTCACTTGAGAGTAAACTCTCCACAGGCAGTGCCTTTTATGAGGTTGAACTTATGAGTAAGTGTCAAATGGATGTAAAATAAAGAAGTGGAAAAACAGTATGTGTGAATTTCACATATCTGCAATATTGGTTCACATTCAGAACCATCTTTCCAGTTCAGATATACTGAACATAGAACATTTAATAAAACCATAGAATATCTGTGTTTTAAAAATATGTATGTTTGAATATGAAAAAATGCATGGTATCTTATGAGAACTTCTAACTAATTTTGGATATGTAAGATATTAGTTTTTCATTAAATAAATCTGAATTCACTTCCATTACCAGAAATAAAAACAAATAACTAAAATTATTGTTGCTTTGTACATTATTTTAAGTTAAAAATTTTTTAGGGATAATATCTCAATTGTACCACCATGTTGACCAGGCTGGAATCAAACTCATGGGCTCACACAATCCTCCAATCTCAGCCTCCCAAGTAGCTGAGACTACAGGCGTGTACCACTGTGCCTGGCTTACACTTTAAGACCCAAAGTAATTGTTTGGAGACAG